TATATATATATATATATATATATATATATATATATATATATATATATATATATATATATATATATATATATATATATATATATATATATATATATATATATATATATATATATATATATATATATATATATATAGTGTCATTTGTAGTACAAACTCCCCATGTGCAAACCAGATGAATAATCTACACCATGCCCAAACCCGTTGAGACACAGGCATATCCAAATTCCTGAGTTTACGTGTAAGCAATATCGCGTCGATATCACACAGCTTTGCATAGTTAATACATCAAGTAGAGTGAATGGACAATGTGAAATCCTCGTGGATGTGAACATATACCGCAGGATGTAAAAACATATATGACAAGGATTTGTGCTTAAGATGAATGGTCGGCTCCATATAAGATTAAAGCTCGCTACGATGACATATCAGTATGAATTTAAGCACAAATACCCATATACCTCATCGAACCAACACAGTTCTTAGACAATTTCAACTTTAGCCACTAACTCGTGCATGTAGGTAATATAATTGGGATGCAACTCTCCACATACAAAAGACATTTCACTCTCACTTCCATACTTGTTTTTCTTCAGCACAGGCGTCAATCTAGGTAAAACATCTCTCGCCCATTTCGTTCGCGCGTAGTTCTCATTCCCCACGCTTCTCTCGTCTTCCTTCAGAGCCCACGATGTGTTTAATCTTATGGTCCATAGAAGCGAGTCCATTGTGCAACCAACGTACGACATCCACATCTGATACTCTGCTCGTCCCTGAAGGCATCAACATACATGAAAAAGGTTATTGGTGAGTACGGACGCCGGGGCTTTATTCGAGATGCTGTTGGGTGCAAAAGCCGCACACAGCTAGCACGAAAGATTTATTCAGAGTACTGTTGTGTCCAAAAGCTCGCAGATACACTACAGGGTGCAGGGTGCTACAAATGAAGTGTATGAGAGAATACACAGGCAATTGCAAGACTAAGCAGCACAACTCAGTAGCTCACATTCACACTTTGAGATGACTAGATATGCAACCGAGCTTGATCACATTTGTCCACACAATCACAGAGTAGCGACAAGGTGTAATATAAAGAGTAGGGACCTGATGTGTTCGTGAGACAGTACAATACTACCTTGATGTCCGTCATAGGCGGGGATAGCGGAACATCTGGTGTCATCTCAACCAGCCATTGTATAATTGCCGTTGCCTCGACAATACGGACTACTCGTGTTTTGTCTGCTTCACCTTTAGTGTTGTCTGTGATCTCTAACATCGGCACGTATCTGTAGACACAAATTTTATAAATACACAGATACGGTGTACGATAAAGCTCGGATTTGATAATATTTGAACTATGTTGCAAGCAACTATAAGCCGAGCGGCTTACCACAGAACGCATACACTTTAATGTTCCTTTGAATCACAAACTAGAATTCATACTATGAATTTAGTTTATTACCAATATTTACTGCAACTTGATGAACTATATAAAATTAAACGTGTTGAGAAGGCAAATAAAGCCAACAATAATAAAAAGCCTGGATACTCGAGCAGATAGTCGGGTGCAGTATATACTTGCCGTCTCACACCTCACTCTGGTAATAGGCACAGATTGGCACACAGCGTCAACCTGAAGTATACCCAGATTGGCACACAGCGTCAACCTGAAGTATACCGTTGAATATGAATCAACACGCACATACGTACCTATCTGGACACTTCTGTACATATTCGGGTGCAAAGTGTTCTTTCTTCATTACATTGATCTCAGTCATCTCCAGAGATATTCCCAGCTCAGCAGCAGCCCATACAACGCGATTGGACCGCAGACCAGGCATATGATACAAGCGCAACGTAAATTCTCTCAACGACATGGCGAAGTAACTTAGTAGTGTGAGGACGCTGTCACGTATTACATGAAAATATGTACTGTATGTATGCATTTAAATATGTGTACAACTGTACAAGTGTACATATATGTGCTAAAATACATATTTATATTTGCTTTTAGAAAAAGGTAAAATTGATGACGTCGTCGTGACATTCCATGACATCACTCCCCAAAAAAGGAGTCATTACGTGTTTTGGCGGCTCATTCGTAGGAACATAAATAACTACTGCACGTGCACGTCCCCACCTAAACAAAACTGTCTGTATGTAACGGTGTGTGCCCACAATCGAACTGAGCTGCTTTCGTGCAGTATATAAACTGGCTATCCACCGTGGTATGTGTATATAGTCAATCTAACTACACACTCTGGTCTAACCACGTGTACATACATCTCAGGGTATACAGCTGCTATCGTATATTGAATGGGCTATGCAGAGTGACATGTACATAAGTTAATATAGCCAGTTCAATTTTATTTTTTTGAATACTTATACTATCACCTCAGAAGCAACACAGTACCGATTCACAGCTAATCACGACCGTACCTAGAGTACAGTCACATACTATTGAACGTAGTAATCTATTAACGTTTTTATCCTACGTGTCTTCACACAGCAGCACCCCACGATGTCAGCTACACAGCACATTACACGAGGCATACCACGTACAAGCACAAGCCTAAACACGCTAGTACGGACTCACATCACTGCGTCATTGAAAAACACACACGCAAATACATATGCATACACACGTACATTTGGAAATGAATATACACGTACGTTCACCAGATCGTATAGTTGTGCAAAATTGCATAGAAAGGACTATCCCGCGTACGATGTGATTGTTATAGGAGGTGGTCATGCGGGCACTGAAGCGGCATCGGCGTCGGCGCGAACGGGTGCGAGGACTGCGTTGGTTACACACAAGATCGAGTCTATAGGTAAAAAAATTTCTAATACATATACGCGCATGTATGCCGTTGTCGATCGAAGCTTTGAAGTAGTACATACGGAGAGTATATCTCGGTATTGAAGCGGACCTCATTTTTATCAGACCACTACGAATTTGCAGATACGGTAATAGCCCAGAATAGTTCGTATATTGCTGATCATAGTATACTGAAGTTGTGTTTTTTTTAGTCTGTCGACTGGCGCGACATTTATCGATCTGAAGATAAGCATTCGTTGTTCATGAGATCTGTAGTATACATATTAGGATACATTGCTGCCTCATCCATATATGTCTATAGGACACATTACTGGTTTCTCGTGCACCGGGTATTCTCCTGCGAAGTGATTGTTGTGGCTTCAATCATAACCTTCCAAACAAAAACCTTATACAACGCCCCTGTTTACTTTTAAACAAGAGTATCTCGTGCACAATAGCTGTGTCTCGCAATATATAACCACGTTAGGCGTATCTGCTACAAGTATATTCAGTTGCTGGGGCAACTACGCAGACATTCGGGTTACAGAGACTGGTCTGGCAGACCAATGGAGGCAACTGTTGCAACGTTTTATCTTGCCTACATACTACATTATACGTAGTACACACTCACCAGGCACACATGCGCAATATGTACTAAACATACTCCCACTATCCACCTGCAGGCGAGATGTCGTGTAATCCGGCATTTGGAGGCATTGGGAAGGGTACGCTGATCAGGGAGATTGACGCCTTAGGTGGAGTGTGTGGCAGGGTCTGCGACGAAGCTGGTATCCACTTTCGCATCCTGAACAGGCGGAAGGGTGCTGCGGTGCAAGGTGTGATTAGTGTCTACTTTGGTTTGTATCAGTTAAGAACAGATATACCTAGACTAAGCGATTGACGTACTTGTCTAGACATATAGACTCGGGTGATCGACTATGCACAATCTGGCAGTTGGCCTGCATGAGATGTTTGCTTGTTATGCGTCTGTATTGCTCATGTGCAAATCTAAACATTGAATGTGTGACTGGTTGACGTGGTTTAGTCACAAATACCTTTTTTTTGCGTTTGCATATGTTGCTACGTACGAATTAATGTTACGTGCCGAGGTATTCAGACCCACTTTTGATAGACAGCCGACTTTTCTGGTCCAGTACGTTCAAGTTTCTTCCCACTCCGCCAGTTTATCTGCCATGTAAACTGATATCGGCGTAGATTCCTCCCTGTCACCCACCTATTTCTCGCATTCTACTCACAGCGTCCTAATTTTATTCAAAGCGTCCTAAATTTACTCTCAGCTTAATCGTACACATATTACGGCATGTATTCCAAATTGCTCATTATATCCCAATTGGTATACATTTTAGGGCCCCGCGCCCAGATCGACCGAGACATTTATCGCAAGGGTGTGCAGAAGGAGCTGCTCACGAACACACCCAATCTGGACATCATAGCGGTTGGTGTGGATGATTTGGTAGTGGATCGCTCGTCAGATCAATTACGGGTCACTGGTGTAACCCTGGGTACGTGTATGCAGGTGTATAGCTATTACCAAGTCTACTCCTTATCCGGGTTGTGTAGGGAGAGCTTAGAGCAGATCTACGCTTATGTGTCTATTTATACACGAGCATAGTAGAGCGATTTCAAAACCATCGTATTTTGAAGTGGAGTGAGGCTATGTTATACTGTCGATAGCGAATATTTGCTGGCAGTCCATTGAATACTATACACGCAGGCGCACACTCACTCCCCACCTGTAGTCGGGGGCCCAAACTCGTAGTTGAAGAGTGCACAGTGGTCTGTCTGCGCAGTGGCAGGTGAGCTGATCACTATGTGGGAGTGTACTACTCAGTCAGTGAATGGAACATGTGTTTTAAATGCATACACACTCTACCCGGTATACCAGCACAAACATGCCTTGACATACACATGTCTAGGACAATGCAGGTTTGATAGACAAACGTATATACATGCCACAATGAGTTGTTCGAGTTATAAACATGAATACATGATACTATTAGCTAAGAACGCCCTCTACCATATGTATCACTCAGCCGATGGATCTCGCGTTTCGTCTAAGGCCGTCATACTCTCGACGGGGACCTTCCTCCGAGGGATGATCAACATTGGCGAAAAGTCTTATGAAGCCGGTCGATTGGGAGACGCACCCGCAATAGGGCTGGCAACATGTTTATACGACCTCAGATTCAACATGGGCAGATTGCGCACAGGTACAGCACTAGTATGCTTCATTCCGTATCCGTGCACCTGTGCTACACTACGATTAAACGTGTTCTTGGTGGTGACAACTGCGTAAGTCTATGGACATGTGGGGCGTCCTGCGAGCTCGTGTCTGTATCTTGATAGTCGAGCGGCACGCATGCCATCGTACGCAAACCTAAGCGCATAGATGAGCTGTCAGATATGTAGCTGAATGCGACACCTCGGCGTTTCTCTACGACCACATGCAGGTACCCCTCCGAGACTTGATGGCAAAACAATCGATTTCTCTGGACTGGAAGCACAGCCAGGGGATGACGAGCCCATCCCCTTTTCGTATCTAAACGACACTGTCACACACGCGAACAATCAAGTACAATGCTACATGACACACACCAACGAGGAGGGGCACCAGATTGCACGCGATACGTTGCACATGAACAGACACGTCACGGGTGAGAGCAAAGGGCCCCGCTACTGCCCTAGCATAGAGTCTAAGGTGCGTAGTACAGTACATGTGTTTATACAAATGGCGACAGATTGAATTGTTCCCTTGTTGCTCTGTTGTATTAATGTGCTCGTGTATGTTGGCTTACAAATCGGTTGTGTACACATCAAATTTACTGTATCGATGCACCTGTGACTCTGGCGCTGTTACAATTTGTTCTAACAGCCATACCACGCACAAAGACAACACCATACTTCTGTTTCTGAAATTAGTTAGGCGAATGCATATTGTACCGAAAATAAGATAGCGTAAAATCATATCTATCTATATATATATATACCTGCACGGTACATGCTGCTGGCATTGTATCGGTACCTGTGCTGCTCAAAATATATTAGGACATTCTGTAATTTGCTAGCGATAAAATACCCGATCCACATTTTGTTGCATTCAAGATCACCGACAGCACACCAATACTAACGACACAGCGGTTAATTGCGCAGGTGTTGCGATTCGACCGGCCTCGACATCAAATATGGCTAGAACCAGAAGGACTGTCTAGTGAACTAATCTATCCCAATGGTATCTCGATGACTATGCCAGAGGAAGCGCAGGTAAGTAGATATGCTTGATATGCGGTTACGTGCATGGTGTTTAGGCATTCGAATAGGTTATAGAGAAAGAGAAATCATGTGTAAGATGTCGATATACAATTGGCAATATATGCTCATTTCCATTTTTGCTTTATGGTTTGAAGCTCATGCATTGAGTAGCGGAACCCCGTAGTAAATTCTCGAAAGCTTTAGTATGGCTTAGCACTGTATAGGTATAACTCGTGCGTTTCCACATTGCTATAATATGTACAGTGTCCTGGTTGAACATTTAGGCTTCTCCTCGTCTACCCCATCTACCCGTTATCAAACGTGTATCCAAACATTTTGAGCCACTAGTATACTGTCCCTTAGAACACTGTCCTATCGCAGAACCTGGAGTCTGGCTTTGTCTATGTCTACATATTGACCTTTCTCTCGAACCATCATACTACCACAGGAACGATTCATTCACACTATAGTGGGACTCGAGAACGCTAAGGTAGTTCGTCCTGGTTACGGAGTAGAGTACGACTATGTTGACCCCAGACAACTGTACCCCTGGTTGGAAACAAAGCTTGTCGGGGGCCTGTATCTGGCAGGCCAAATCAATGGGACTACGGGATACGAGGAAGCTGCTGCTCAGGTGTGCTGTGGTTGTATTGTCGACTTTGTATATCATAAGCCGTTACAAGTTCAATTGTATGTATTTATAGATCTGCACATGTTTATAGATATATATATATATTGCATGCAAATATAAATACCGTGTACAAGTATATATGCCTGTATATGAGGGGTTGTCTTGGCGGGGGAAATCATTGTAAACACCAGTCTGCCATTAGATTGTGCCGCAATGGCTGTGAATATATACATCACTTCAATGAGCAAGATGTGGGCTTGGTTGGGGTCCATCGAGTTAGGGAATGTGCTCATCAACATTCGATCGATTAGTTGGATGACTTGTGTGAATTTATATTCTCTCTTGTAGTCGCTCGCTGTGTCAGAGCAGAGAGTTTATCTAGAGACTGCACAACACGTGCTACACATCGACGCGTCCTCGGAAGTGTTGACGTCTGTGACATCCACATACCAGTTTATGGTGTCAAGATTTGATACTGTCGATGTTCCACTCGATATTAACTATTGTTATCTTATGCATGTCATACTGATAGGGCATCATTGCAGGAATCAATGCCGGATTGATGACTCTGTCGACACGCAACGCGAAGGCCATTGATGCGGCCAACAGCGCAGGTACGTATGAATCCGGTTGTGTATGTAAAAAGAGTTTTTGCTGTGGTAGTAGCGGTATACGTGCAGTGCTATTCATTGGCATATGTGAATAATACTAACTATGGTGGTGGGTTGTCATATCTCGATGTCAGTTGATAAAAGCTCGATGTTAGGAACAGGCATTCCGATAGAAATACAGACTCCACTATTCAACTCTCCTCCACTCCCCTGTAGAACCATGATGACACGCCTGCAAGTCCAGTTAACAGCAATACACACAAACGACGACATGCGCGATTCTATCCATATAGTACATGGCATTGATTAAAGTACGTACCCACTCATCCCATACAACCACGCAGATTTGTCTGCAAGTATTACAAGCACAAATCACGAAGACGGAGAATGGGCGCCTTTCATAGTCGACCGGTCGGAGGCCTTTATTGGAGTGCTGATTGACGATCTGGTATCACAGGGTGTCAGTGAACCGTATCGCATGTTCACCTCACGAGCTGAATACAGATTGCATCTTCGCGCAGACAATGCCGATTTGAGGTGCGTGTATTGTAAGTGTTGTTTTTCTTTTATGCGATCGTTATATTTTGTGGCGAGAGAGTTCAAGGTTTGCTCAGATAAATAGGATTCGCACATACTGCGAGTCGGATGCTCAGTGAAAACTCAATGTGTATAATGCGCTCTCACGCACTCGATAGGATGTTTGTTTACACCAGGGCCTATAGATTGTGAGTTTGTTGCAAATTTGGATCAAATTTCCGTTTATAAAGCAATCGCAATGCTCTTGATGTGTGTATAGCCATGTAATAGGTGTCGGTGTCGTCAAGAAATGAATTTATTCTGTTGCATAGTACATCGGTAGATTGGCAAGCCGAACATGCTCTCTGCTGGTAGGGATTGTAGCACATTATCTAACATGTGCATGGTATTCTACTTGTTTCACATCAGGTTAACAGAGAAGGTCAATGCAGCTGCACCGGGTGTTGTCTGTGACGAACGTCTGCGTAGAGTTCGGAATGTGGTGGGGAACATGGATAAGTCCAGGGCTCTATTGCAAAGTATAATCAATACCCCCAATGTTTGGGGCGACCTGCTTGAGGTGAGACTTAACATGTCATCATTTGTACTCTTCTTGTTATGAAGATGTGCAAGTGATGATAATTCATACTGAAACATGGTCCTGTCATAACAAGAATGTGGGGGTTTGGATTGTTATTGGTGGATGTCCTTTCTTAAATGAAAAAGAGATTTGATGACCATGAGGCAAAACTGGGTCTACAAAGTGTAGGCCTCCTGTTAGTCTTCGTACACATAGTTTTGAAAAAATAGATGTGTGTATGTCCCGCAAATGTGTATATCCGTAAACTCCCGCACATATTACTAAATATCTGATGTCTTTCATCAACGTCTGCAATTGTAAACTTGCGGTCGCATATCACATAGAAATTTGTAAGATTCAAGATTTTATAAAAATACATAATATCGTATGTGTGGGCTGTAAGATGTGTCTGTATTCTCTTTTTATCACGTTTGGCGGATTTATGGAGATTTGACCACCTGTATTTAATTGTTGTATATTAGTGCATCATATACATACACGTGCGTTTGCGAGTGGACCTTTCTGTGTGATTTCACGTATGTAGCACATTTTCAATTGCCAGTACATTTCATCGAAAGTAACTATTGCCTTACCCTGTGTTAATTGTCTGTAGATCAACATGAGCCAAGACGGTAAGAAGAGGTCAGCTTTCGATATGCTCTCGTTTCAAGGCGTCAATATGGCACTGCTGGGGGAGAAGGTATGGTACTTATCAGCACAAACGCTCCATATATGTGGACATATACGTATATATGTAGACACTTGTGACTATATGCGAGACTACTTGTAAATTTTGATATAAACATTAGTAAATGATTGCATAACCATAAATGTACAAACTTACACGCATATGACAAATCCGCTTGACACACACCAGTAAATATTTGTGTGTTCAACTCGTGTGTGACCAGTTTTGGTCCCTAGATACCGTACGGAAAGGATGATATGTTTCAGTGCACAGGGATATGTATGCGCTCTGTTCGCTCTTTTAAGTTAAACGCTCATGTCCGTTGTTGCTATGCGTAAAATTATTTCACTAAATACGTATGGAATACTTTTAGTCGAAGTCTGTGATGTATGTGTTGTGCTTTAAAATATAGCATCTCATAGTTAAATCTAGCAATGTTGCAATTGAATGTCTTAGAGCTAGCATAAAAATATATCGGTGTATGTGGTCATAACGATTTCCTGAATGCTAGATAGCTGTATGGTTTACCGGCCATATGCGTGCAATAAATTTATAGGACTCGGATGTCTGTGTGTGGCAATTAGCCGCCTACATCCTCAACAGAAGGTTTGCTTTCCAGTTGCACTGTCGAGTGATTCACATCCTCGCAATTGTCATGGTAGACTGCTGGCCTCACATACGCTTAACTTTCTGAGTTTCATATTTGTCTACACGATTATTGCTGCATAAGTGTACACGATATATCATTCTTATATTGCACATATGTGATTGCGCGGGGGATGTTGGTCATGCATATTTTCTTGATATCTACGATAGCCTACTCATCTACAGTATGTTATGTGTAATATACTTCATATATCACTCGGTAGATACCGGCTGTTAAGGAACAGTGCGATGCGAGTGTATGGGAGCGCATGGACATAGAGGGATCATACCTGGAACCGCTTGCGCGTCAACAAGCAGATATCGACACCTTCAAGAAGGACGAACATTTGGCCATACCCCACAATTTCGACTTTTTGAGGTAACGATCAAAATTCTGTGTGCGGATAGATATTTGTTTCCTGTGTTTGAATATGTGTTTAAAGTGCAATATTGACTATGTGCTCAAACATGCGATTGGATTTTCACTTGGGTCGGTCAACTCATTTTGATCACCGCAGATTACAAAATTAGATATGGAGGAACGTCATGTGCGCTAGTTCGTGAATACGGCGATTGATTCCGTCAATACATCACAGGATCGAATACATGCTGATTAGTGTAGTTACTTTTGCATGGGTATCGTGTACTCAGTCCTGCTTATGGGTTAGTGCCTTGGTGAACACGTCCACGTTTATGATACTCACATCATCATTCGATACTACAAAACTATTCCATATATCACAACACAACCTCTTATGGCGATTGGTTGTGGTCTCCTACGCATCTCTGAGTGTGTGCTATACAGTGTGCACTCTCATTGTACTTTCTCATGCCGTTGCACTGAGATTCCGTATGTAGTACTTATTGAGTGCTACACAAATAAGACACCATGTGGTATATTCTCATGCTCTGAAACGCTGTTTCTTCCTGTATAGCTTGCCGTTCCTCGACATGGAAGCCAAAGAAGTTCTGAACATGGCACAACCGTTATCGCTGGGTGCCGCATCGAGAATACCCGGTATCACCCCCACACATCTGATCCAAATGCTCAAGTACATAAGCAATAGCAAGCACAGATACCGACATGTGAAGAAAACTGAGACCAGTACACGGGCGGTATCGGTGGAGGCATAGGAAACGTACACATCAGTGTTATGAGGAACCGATCTGTGGAAACTTAAGACTGGCACACAGAGGGTAACAGTGGAGGCACAAGAAAAGATGTACGGATAAGGAGCTAAGGGTTAAGACCGAATCTACCCCGCACATTCGATCCGGATACGATTACGCCAGAATAACAAGCACAGACGCCGACATGTGAAGAACGCTGAGACCAGTACACGGGCGGTATCGGTGGAAGCTTAGGCAAGATGAAGGGCACGAACCTGATTCAGATACTCGAGAACATCAGCAGCGGTAAGCACAGACAAAGCCTAGTTTGGTATCTACTGGCGATGGCGAACAGGACTACCACACAAAGCGCGAACAATGCTCCCAATACATCACAAACAGAACAGAAGTTAGGTTGAGGCACATTCTACGACATGTGGAAGCCGAGAGTATAACCCAGTATTAGGTGTAGGCGTTGTTGCGTTATTACGTTGTTAGGTCGTGTAGAGTTCAAAATCGGGGTTGAGCTTGGAGTCAAACATACGCATCTGCTGCAAATGCTCACGTACATTACAGATAGTAATCACAAAATCATCCGGCATGCGAATAATATCATCCGAGAGACATCTTGGAACCGGTGTCGCAGGGTCCATCCACTTCCAATCTCAGAACTGCACCCACCTAACTGCGTCAGGTAGTAAAAGAACAGAAACCGGCTTGGAAATAGAAGCGTCGGGTGTGTCGCTATGGGCGCATCTGTAGAGGCATAGTTCTAACGGCTTGACATACGGAATATTATTGCTACTGTCTGCTTCACTACGTTGCAGTCCATGTGCCTAGCGGGACACAACGAATTATTGATAGGGGCACATCTATCATTTATGAGACTTCTTTTTGCTGACCTCCACTTACTAGGCTTTGGTGGAGGCACTGGTGAAGTGGTGTGTTATTCGTGATTCTATGTTGTTGTCTGCCCGACACTGTTGGGCTCAAAGTGTCGAGAGGGCCACCATCGAAGCAGTAGTAGAGGCACAGATCAAGATGTGTCTGGCCAGAGAGCGGTTCTAGGAGTCTGCCTACCAATTACTGCGATCATGATTGCGTACGGGTGCCAGGTTATGCAGCCCATTGTCTCTGGATCTCAAATAGTGGATATGCGGGAAATGTTTTCTTATGTATACGTCATTCTCATAGATGATCATAACCCACTCATATATGGAAGGTATGAGAAAGTTTTTGACATGTGATGTGAGAGTATCTGTGACATACTTATCTGGGGCCATACGTACAATTGGAATATGACATTTTGTGTGCCTGGTGACACACTCAGCAATAGTAGGCACCAATGATCACATAATAAAATACTTGTGAAATACTAAGATACCGGTATCACTGACTTTTGACATTTTGTATGAGCTGAGATTTCCAAATCAATATCAATGATCAGCACGAATTAGCTCAGATTTTAAATCACTCCTAGCCACTTACCAGTAACAGATAGATGTGTGAGGGTAAATCTCAATGGGCGAGGTCAAATTCTATATCAGAGGTTCTTGAATGGGTTGAACACCCACCCTCTATTGCTTCCATATTGCTTACCACAGATCACGGAGAGTACTTTTATACTGCTCCCTACTGACAACAATGAGGTTGTATATGCATTTTGTACCAACAGAAATGAATATGAGCGCATTCATTCGCTTCGCTAGGGCTTGAACTTCATCGCCTACTCTCACCTTCCAGATTTGTTATATCTGTACTACCTATAGTCTCTATAACTCCCGTTTCTACCATCAAAATTCACCTTAATATTTGCGAATACGATTCAGGCGAGCGTTTACGATCGTACTCGCCAAACTGCGCTTAGCGATGAAATTGTCAACACCATACTATTTGATTTGCGCATACAGTTAGCACTAATTTATCGATTGCGTGTCATTGCAATACTTCCTATACGAGTTTTGCGCATGTAGCGCTCGTTTATTATTTAATATCCGAGTTATTATGTGTCATCTAGGAGGGCAATCCACGCAATCGGCACCTGACGTCCTCTCATATTCCCTAGCGGCCTGTTGATAATAACAAGGTGTGATACATAATTCTATCATGAGAACTAGATGAGGGCTTAAAGACAATACAGCAAACACACTTGTGCGTGTGAAATACGATGCCCCAAGGTATATTTAAGCTAGATGCACTCGATACATGACGAAAGCAATCGAAAGTGTGTAAAGCGACGATATACTATGTCGCATAATTTAACGGAAACAAGTTGCCATCGATGTCCATGACACACAAGCTACCAGGCCAAGCATCATATGTACATCACAGACTATCACTGAGAGGCACCTGAGGCAGTTTCTTAGCGACGCGCAGAAAATGCAAAGAGTGTGGTACTCTATAGGAGCAATTGATGTACATAATGAAAGATAGTACAAATTAAACCTCCTACTAAGTGGTTGATGACAACACTAAGTGACTGCAAGGCGAAGCCAACAAGAGCGCAATTCTAATCTTTGCGAGACCATTGTCAGCGCCAACTCCAAAACAAGATGCAAACGCTCGCATACACGGCACTTCTGTACAAATATATTATATATATATATATATACGCACGCACGCACGCACGCACGCACACACACATATATATT